GAAGAATTGGCTCTGCGAGTTCACTGCACAGCCTGTCGCTGGAAATAATTATGAGGCAGTTATGACGGCACAGAGTCTAAAAGTGTCGTACGTTTTCGCACAATTGGCCAGAGCCCCCTGTCAGTCGCGCGAGGCGGTTAGGTCTTTTTAAGTGAAGCGGGCGCGGCTTTCTTCACTAAGATTTTTCTCCTTAGTGCGGCGCCGCGGCGGCGGCGATGCCGTGTGTAATTGACGGTTTGCCGACGTTTTTCCGGCAGACTGTGGAGATGCGACCTCTAGCGGAGAAAGCGCAGAGGTTTGTGAAGAGCATCGAGACTCTGACGACAAGGTAAGCGGAGAGGCACCACGATAGCGATGACACGCAACGTAATTAGCCAGCGAGCCGTGCAGCCGTGATCGCACGGTCAGTTTTGAACTGCACGGCCAAAAAATGTGTAGCACGAGGCCTAAAAATGTTGATCTAAAGCGCGTGTACATTTGTAAAAATTGGGCACTCCCAAATATCTTTTCTGGCACACCACAATACTCATTACTGGCTAATACCCTGATGACACGGTGCTGTCGAACCAGAGTGCAAGGGTCGCCAGTCGGGCAAACTCTAACGTTGTCCGTTTTTGGAAGGGTTTCCGGTCCGATTGTGCAGATTCACCGCGTAACAGCCAGTCGAGGGATCGTGCCGAAAGTGTCCTTATATGCAGGGTCTGTTCTGTATCGGTGTCACTAAGTCGCTTTGACGCGACACGGGTGCATGTCACGAGTGACGTGTGGCGTGCGTGTGTCGTGTCTGATGTGTGCACGAGTGATGTGGCAAGCATGCGTCCTGCGTGTGCGCGCAAAACGTGACCTGACACTCTCTGTGAGGCGCACCGCTGACGTGTTCTGTGTGGTCTGAGATTGACTGCGCGTGTAAAATGTGATGCCTGACATTGATGTTGTGTGAGGTGATCGTGCATGCGGCATATTGTGCATGCAATCGTGTGTCGTGCATATGTGCAATGCAGTGTGTCTGATGGCTGATGTGAGCAATTGACGGCCTGCGTGCGTGGCATGCATGGTGATCTTGCATTGATGTTTGTGGTGACGGTGGGCTGTGGTGCGTGCAATGTGCATGCTGACGTTATAGTGTGTCCCGTGTGTGCGTGCGTGCCGCTGTGTGTGTGGCGTGCATGTGATCAAGAACATTAACGTGTGCGTGTGTGCGTGCAGGCGTGTGGTGGCGTGCGTGCGTCGTGTCGTGTGCGTGCATGTGATCAGACATTGAACCTGTGCGTGTGTGTGTGGCGTGCACTGTGATCAGATCATTAATCTGTGCGTGTGTGCGTTGGCATCGGATCAACATTAACCTGTGGGCGCTGTGGTGCGTGCATGTGATCTGACATTAACCCTGTGCGGGTGCGTGCATGTGATCCCAGACATTAACTGCTGCGTGTGTGCGTGCATGTGATCTGACATTAACCTGTCGTGCGTGCGTGCATGTGATCTGAACTTAACCTGCTGCGCTGCGTGCGTGCGATTGAATCTGACCTTAAACGCTGCTGGCGTGTGTGCGTGCATGTAGCAGAGCATTAACCTGTGCGTGTGCTGCGTGCCATGCTGATCAACATTAAGCCTGTGGCGTGTGTGCGTGCCATGTGATCAGACCATTAAACTGTGCGTGATGTGGCGTGCATGTGATCAGACATTAAACTGTGCGTGTGTGCGTGCATGTGCATCAGACTATTAACCTGTGCGTGTGTGCTGTGTGTTGCGTGCATGTGATCAAACATTAACGTGGTGCGTGCGTGCGTGCATGTGATCTGACATTAACGTGTGTATGCGTGCGTGCGTGTGTGCGTGCGTGCATGTGATCTGACATTAACCTGTGGCGTGCGTGGCGTCGTTGAGCGTGTATGTGATCTGACATTAAAATGCGGCCGTGCATGGCGTGTGTGCGGTGCGTGCGTGCGCGCATGCCTGTATGGCGGTATGCGTGCATGGATCTGACATTAATGGGTGCGTGCGTGCTGTATGCGTGCGTGCGTGTGTGGCGTCGGTGCATGTGATCCTGAACATTAACACGTGTGTGCGTGGTGCATTCGTGTGCGTGGCGTGTGATCGACATTAACCTGTGCGTGCGTGCGTGCATGTATCTGACATTACCTGTGCGTGCGCTGGCGTACGGTGTGTGTATGTTGCGGCATTGATCTTGACCATGAACACCTGGGCGTGCGTGCGGGTGCGTGTGTGTGTGTGATCTGACATTAAAATGGCTCGTGCATGCGTGTGTGCGTGTGTGTGATCTTAACATTAACGTGTGGCGTGCGTGGTGGCATGCCTGTATGGCGTATGCGTGCATGTATCTGGACATTATAGTGTGGCGTAGCGTGCGCAGCGTGGCCGCTGTATGCCGTTGTCATGTTCGACCATTATATGTGTGGCCGGCTGCATGCGTCTGCGTCGTGCGTGTGTGTGATCTACATTAATGTGTGCGTGCTGTGTGTGATGCTTACATTAATGTGTGCGTGCGCTGCGCGCGTGCCTGTATGCGGCAGTGATCTGACATTATGATGTGCGTGCAATGCGCTGGCGTGCGGCCATGTGATGCTGACATTAATTCGTGCTGCGTCGCATGCGTGGCGTGGCGTGGCATGTGATCTGACATTAATGTGTGCGTGCATGCGTGCGTGCGTGCGACTGTGATCTGACATTAAATCGTGTGCGTGCCGTGCGCACGGCCTGTATGCGCTGCATGTGATCCTGACCATTAATGTGTGGCGTGCATGCGTGTGGCGGTGTGAATGACCATTAACATGCGTGCGGCATGAGTCAGTGGCATGTATCGAAGTGATCTTGACATTAACGCGTACGTGCATGTGATCTGACAGTTAATTGCCGCCGCGCAGTGCGTGGCATGTGATCTGACATTGACGTGCGTGCGTGCGTGCATGTGAATCTCTGACATTAACGCTGTGTGCGTGCGTGCGTGCGGCGTGCGGTGCATGTGATCTGACAGTTAACTGATGTGCGTGCGTGCGTGCGTCGTGCGTGTGCGTGGCGTGGCGTGCGTGCGTGCGTGCGGACTGAATGGACTCGGACATTAATCGTGTGCGTGTGTGCGTGCGTGCGTGCGTGCATCGGAGTCATCGAACAATTGAACGTGCGTGCGTGGCGGTGCGTGCATGTGATCTGGCTTAACCGTGCGTGCGTGCGGCGTGCGTGCGTGCGGTCGTGCATTGATCTCGAAATTAACGTGTGTGCGTGTGTGCGTGCTGCAGTGCGTGCATGTATCCTGACATTGACGTCCGTGGCGTGCGTGCGTGCATGTGATCTGCATAACGTGGCGTGGCGTGCGTGCGTGCGTGCGTGCAGTGTGATCTGACATCAACACGTGTGTTTGACGTCGCGTGCGTGCGTGGCGCATGGTGATCTGACATTAAGCGGTGTAATGCTGTGCGCTGAGCGTGACGGTGCATGTGAGTCTGACATTGAACGTCGTGGTGCGGTGCAATGTGATCCTGACCATTAACGTGCGTGCCGTGCGTGCATGGTGACTGACATTAAACGTGTGTGCGTGCGGCGCGGGCGGCGTGCATGTGATCTGACATTACGTGTGGCGTGCGTGCGGCGCCGTGCCGTGCATTGTGATCTGAACATAACGCTGTGTGCGTGCGTGCGTGCATGTGATCTGTACATTGACGTGCGCGTGTGCGTGCGTGCATGTGAATGCTGACATTGACGTGCGCGGTGTGCGGCGTGCGTGCGTGCATGGTATCTGACATTAACGTTGTGGTCGTGCGTGCGCGCGGCTTGCCATGTGATCGTGACATTAACGTGCGGCGGTGTTGCGTGCGCTGGCATATGATCCTGACCATTAAGCGTGCGCGGCTGGCCGTGCGTGCGTGGTGCATGTGATCCTGACATTAACAGGCCGGGCGTCGTGCGCATATGATCGGACATTACCGGGTGGCGTGCGGGCGTGCGTGCGTCAACACGCCGCCGAATTAGCCGTCCGCTGTGCGGCGTGCGCGTGCCATCGTGATGCTGCATTAACCGTGCGCGCGGTGCGTGCGTGCCTGTAATGCGCTGCACTGTGCTATCGTGACATTAATCCGCTCGCGGTGTCTATGTCCTCGCAGGTGGGATAGGCGGAGGATGCAGAATGCAAGGGAGAAGGTGGCATGGAGCCGGGCAGGCGATGTCGCTCGGCAGGTGCGCCATCGCCCCCTTCCGCGGGCCAGCAGCTCGTGGGACTCAGCCCGCCCCACCCGCAGCCACCATGAGGCGCCCACGCACCGCCGAAAACCGGCAGGTTCGACGTCAACAGGTGCACTGCAAGGTTGTGTCTGCAAGTGTGTGCGCGATACTGTCGGGGGCTGGTGGGGTGCAGGTAATGTGGGCACAGGTGGGGTGGCAGGTATGCTGTGGCAGGTGTGGTGCAGGTATGCGCACAGTGCCAGGTTGTGCCCGCGTGGCACCGGTATGTGGGTCAGGTGGGTGCATGTGATGTGGGCAGGTGGGTTGTGCAGGTGATGCGGGCAAGGTGGGGTGCAGGTATGTGGCTGGTGGGGCGCAGGTATGTAGGCGCAGGTGGGTGCAGATATGTTGGCAGGTGGGGTGCAGGTATGCTGGGCCGGTGAGGCACAGGCATGTGGGCAGGTGGCGTGCTGGTATGTGGGCAGGTGGGGGAGGCAGCGTAAATGTGGGCAAGGTGGGGCGGGCAGGTATGGGGCAGGTGGGTGCAGGAGTGGCAGGTGGGGGTGCAGGTATGTGGGCAGGTGAGGCACAGGCATGTGGGCAGTGGCGTGCTGGTAATGTGGCAGTGTGGGGCGCAGGTAATGTGGGCTAGGTGGGGCGCAGGTATGTGGGCAGGTGGGGTGCAGAGTATGTGGGCAGGTTGGGGCGCAGGTATGTGGGCAAGGTGGGGTGCAAGGTAATGTGTGGGCAGGGGGGCAGGTTATTGGGGCAGGTGGGGTGGGGCAGGTATGTGGGGCAGGTGGGGTGCAGGTTATGTGGGGGCAGGTATACAGGTGTGTGGGCAGGTATACAGGTATGTGGGCAGGTATACAGGTATGTGGGCAGGTATACAGGTATGTGGGCAGGTATACAGGTATGTGGGCAGGTATACAGGTATGTGGGCAGGTGTACAGGTATGTGGGCAAGTATACAGGTGTGTGGGCAGGTATAAAGGTGTGTGTGCAGGTATACAGGTGTGTGGGCAGGTATACAGGTATGTGGGCAGGTATACAGGTGTGTGGGCAGGTATACAGGTATGTGGGCAGGTATACAGGTGTGTGGGCAGGTGTGCGGGTGTGTGGGCAGGTATACAGGTGTGTGGGCAGGTATACAGGTGTGTGGGCATGTATACAGGTGTGTGGGTAGGTATACAGGTATGTGGGCAGGTATACAGGTATGTAGGCAGGTATACAGGTGTGTGGGCAGGTATACAGGTATGTGGGCAGGTATACAGGTGTGTGGGTAGGTATACAGGTGTGTGGGTAGGTATACAGGTATGTGGGCAGGTATACAGGTATGTGGGCAGGTATACAGGTATGTGGGCAGGTATACAGGTGTGTGGGCAGGTATACAGGTGTGTGGGCAGGTGTGCGGGTGTGTGGGCAGGTATACAGGTATGTGGGCAGGTATACAGGGGTGTGGGCAGGTGTGCGGGTACATGGGCAGCTGAGCACATGTGATGAAAACTTGCAGGTACAGTACGACCTCCTTTATCCGGCCATCCGTTATCCGGAAATCTGTATTAACTATTAACCGGCTGCGATCTCGCAGTGTATGTTCTCTGTTTTTTCATTCATTTCCACCTAAAAATCTCGCTCAAAGCTCGCTCAAAACTCGAGCGATGTACCAATGATTCTCGCGCGATGTACACATTGATTATCGTAAGAGCGCACAGCTATCACATACACAAAACAAACACACTTACCGTAAGAGCAAACGCCCATGTACATGTACATGTATAATATACGGCCATATTAAAATACGAATATTTCATGAATACGTACTCACTTGTTGATGCTGTAAAAACTACCAAGGAATAAAAGATATATATACATTGTATTTTATATGAATGAACAAAAATGTGTGTGCGTGCGTGCGTGCGTGCGTGCGTGCGTGCGTGCGTGCGTGCGTGCGTGTTGTCCGCTATGCCTCCGGACAACTTTCGTCCGTACTAGCGGACGTTAGTGAAACGTTCGTTACAGCCATTGATCTCAGCACAAAAGAAACACATAAACCGAAGTGGTAAAATTTCTGTTCTATTTTATTAGCTCATCTGACATAGTCAGATGCAGCTTGTAGAATCGCATGATCGTCCGTCCGTCCGGTCGTCCGTCCGTCCGTCCGTCCGTCCGTCTGTCAACAGTTGGGCACAAATCTTAACCGCTCGACGTACGGTCACGATATTCGGGTCGTTGGGGGGGATCGTCAAAACGAGTTGGGATGTCGAAGCTGGGGGTCAAAATGTCAAAGGTCAAGAGGTGTAAAAGAAGGGGGAACATTCACTCCTTAACT